TTCTAGCATTTGTGTAGAAGCACTTTAAAAAATTGCCACTGTTTATCTGTCTGCCCTTCCCTGATGTATTAGATTCTTAGGTTTTTGTCTGATCTGGCCCATACTTTATCATCTCCCCTCCTCTCTTTCTGACTAAAACCTAGAGAATCTCCATCAATGGACTCTCCTTTAAGAGAAGTCTCCGTCTGATCCACGTGTTCCTCTGCACCAATTGGCTTTCCCCCATTTCTTAGTTTAAAAACTGCTCTACAACCTTTTTAATGTTTACTGCCAGCAGTCTGGATCCACCTTGGTTTAGGTGGAGCCCATCCTTCCTGTATAGGCTCCCCTTATCCTCAAAGTGTCTCAAGTTCCTAATAAATCTAAACCCCTCCTCCCTAAGCCATCATCTCATCCACGCATTGAGACTCTGAAGTTCTGCCTGCCTACCTGGCCCTGTGCGTGGAACAGGAAGTATTTCAGAGAATGCCACCATAGAGGTCCTGGATTTCAGTCTCTTTCCTAGCAGCCTAAATTTGACCTCCAGGACATGTCTCCTACTCTTCCCTAAGTCATTGGTACCTACATGTACCACGACTACCATGTCCTCCTCAGCACTACACGTAAGTCTATCTAGATGCCTCGAGAGATCCGCAACCTTTGCACCAGGCAGGCAAATCACCATACGGTTCTCCCGGTCATCACAAACCCAACTATCTATGTTTCTAATGATCGAATCACACACTACTAACACCTGCCTATTCCTAACAACTGTCATTCCCTCCCCTGGAGAGATATTCTCAGTGCGAGAGGATACCGTAACATAACATCCAGATACATCTCATTGTCCTGGCACAACCAAACACTGACCTTGCTTTAAGTTAGGATAAGAGGAAGCTGCATACCAAATTTGATGGCCCTTGCTCTTACTGTTTAGGAGAAATTCTTGAACAAACAAATAGACACTCTCAGGTATCTTTGATCCGGGCCAGTTAGTGATTTTACATGACAGAGTTTTTGTATGTCTGCTAAATGTTTTGATTATCTTAGAACTGAAGTAGAAAGATTTTTTGACCACACACAAGAATTTCAAAGGGAACAAAATACGGGACATTTACCTTTCCCCACCTCTAATATCATTAGCTCACAGACATTTACCTTCCTCCCTCCCTCCCCCCCGCAACCCCCTTCTGTTCTGAAATGTGATTTGTCCTTTTCATACATGTTCACTTTTTTTTAATTGTATCCTTTGGTATATATGGTTGTGACTATTTTCTTCCACTATTTGATCTGAGGAAGTGGGTCTGGCCCACGAAAGCTCATCATCTAATAAACCATCTTGTTAGTCTTTAAAGTGCTACATAGTCCTGTATTTTGTTTCAGCTACACCAGACCAACACGGCTACATTTCTATCACTACTCAAAGGGAACAGATATTCTCAGTTCAGTGTATGTGGGTTTAAGTATGTTGTTTCCTTTGGCTATGTCTGGGGTAACATTTTTCAGAGAACTGGTACAACTCCCTTGGAATTAGTGACATGTGTCAGCTTGCTAATATAAGGAGGGGACAGGTTTTTGGCTTTTTGCTACTTTGTTGTCCTCATTTTTCAGAATATTGAAATGATCCCAGTGCACACTTCTAACTGAGTTTCAATCAGGGCAGACTGAATGTCAGAATGATACAGTGACTGTGCTTCATCTACAAAAGTACACACCTCATGACTATTGCTACCTGGAAAGGTGGGAGGTTCTGTCCAAATTAATCTTTTGTGTCAAGGACAAACTGGTATAGAATACTATCATATATAAGACTTAGCCTGACAAATAAATGTGAGAAACACTACAGATTGGGTAGGCTATCTAGCTTAATTCCTAAAATAATAATTTAGCATCTCTTAAAAAGAAATTCTGCAGTAAATGTTACATAAAACCTAGGAGAAAAGGTTACCACTTAGCTATTACTGAAAGTATAGTTCTACAACGAAGTAGGGCTGGCCAACAAACAATTGGTTGGGTTATATCAGTCACCATGATATTTGAAGGTCTTCCGAGAGTGCTTTAAGTAACAAGACTAGTGTAGGTCACTGTGGTTCTTGCCCTATTAATTTGTATTACAGTAGAATCTAGGAACCCAAACACGATCCAGGAAACTATTGTTCTACGTGCTCCCTGATCCAAATAGCGTGGGCTGCTGAAAATATATTGAAAGATATAACATTCCATTTCAGTTGGATGTACAACTAAAAAAGCTGCACAATCGGTCTGGAAAAGCTCCAGAAGCTTAACACATATCTTAATCTGGTCTATAATTTTAAATAGGACAGATAAATGTCTTTGATTATGGCCTTATCAACAGATTTTTTTCTTAAGAGACAAGACATTTCACTATTGTACTACAGTTAGTTACCCCTCTCCCAAGATTAAAGGCCTGATCTTGCAACTTACCAGCCTGTGGGCAAAGTGGTTAGCCGTATATAACCCTATTGAATTCTGTGGGGTTCTAAGCAAGTGCAGCACTCTGCTTGTGCTCTTCAATTTCAGAATAAAACCATGGTGTCCATCATGTATTTAAAGAAAATACAGAACATAAGATGCACCTAATGTCAAATCTTTGGATCTACAAAGGATTAAAATCGACCTATCTTGAATGCAAAATGATGGTCGGGTAATTTAGTTTAGAGCTTCCATGAACAAATGTTTTGACTACTATGAGTGGCTTTCAGGACTGGTTGGAATATGGGAAGAGAGGATCATATTTTGTAAAACACAGGATTTTTTTCAAGCTTTGGACTCTTAGAAAGTTCAGATAAATTATTTCTTCCAAAGCTTGTTGGTAATCTTGCTAGTTACATTCACAGTAACCAAACACAGCTTTGCTATTAGCGCTTATGAAGTTACACAGGACCTCAATGTGTGCATGGGATGAGGGCAATTCCCTTTGCTACGTTACCAGAAGTCTGTAACTAAAGCCTTTGTGCATCTCTTCAGCCTTGAACGAGATGTCTTCAATTCGCCAATGAGTATTATCTTTTTATTCATGTGTTTATTTGACCATCTGTTTACAACACCGTTTACAAATCTTTCTGGTGCTAGGATTAGTTCACCAAGAAGCAGGATTTCACATTTCTAAATGTAGACTGGAGAATAAGGCAGAAAATAAAGTGCAATATTTCCAGTTTCTACTCAAGACACAACCTGAAACTGTTGTAAATCTAGTGGTTAATGGGGAATGTGAAGGAGTATGCCCCAGTCCTGGAGTGGATTCACCTTGGGTCTGGGAGCATACAACCTATTGGCCTGTCCCCCAAAGTTCAATGCCCCTCACTCAGGGGAACTACGGCCCTTCAGCCTAGTCCATAAAGTCAAGCCTTTTTCCCAGTCCTGGAGGCTGGACTCCGGGGGGTCTTAGGGAGGTAGGGGGACCCGGGCCATCCCACTCCACCGAGTCCCAGCCCAAGGCCCTATTGGCAGTGACAGAATCCACTGTCTGGTCGGCAGGAGTGCCTGCCGGAACACGCCGACCTCCCGGGGGTCTTTCCTCCACCCTGGGCTGCTTCCTACCTTTCCCCCCCCCCCGACTGAGGTGAGGTCTGGGGGTCTGTGGTTCGGGTTGCGGATCCTGAGCGGTGGTATCAACAGGCTTAGCTCCTGAGGCGACCAGTGCTGGCAGGTCTGGCTTCGGGGATGGCTGAGGCAGCCCATAATCTCTTCCCTGTTTTCCTGCCCCTTCAGCTACCTCCCTGACTCCCTGCTTTCCCTTGCTTTTATCTCAGGCCTCACTCTTGAGCATGCCCTGCAGGGCTGTGGGGGTAGGGTCTGCCCCGCCCCTGGATCTAGGTGAACCCTTTTAGCTTCAGTGCGGGGTGGTGCTGCCCCGCCACAAGGCAACAAAGCAATCGCTATGGATAATAATGAAAGATCCATATTTATTTGCTTTCTGAGAATTAACACTAGCAGAAGAAAGCCATTCAGGTGGTCTTGATAAAACAGAATGGACAGCGTTTGATCGAATTTTTGAATAATTTATATTCTAACCTGTTGGGAAAAGGATCATCTTCGAGCCAGATCTGTCATGCTCCCGGGTCTTGTTGATGTTCATCAATCTGCTTCCTAGATCACATTTTTTAAATCTATCTTACCAGAAGGACTTAAAGTATCTCTTTTGATATTTGGCTAGTTTGTCATTGTATTTTGACTCTGATATCAGTACTTCGAAATAAGTAGCTTGCAAGTGACACATCCTATTGTCTTCCAGGCCAAAGAACCGCCAAGGGGTTAAAGCCTATCTTACTCACTTCAACTTGTCACAGTAATTATCATCTTTGTAACTGTTCTAGATGATAGTAAGAGATGAGTGAACTTTCACACTGTGCTGAACCAGAATAAGAAATAGCAGAATACAGTAGGTCCCTAGAGAGGGCTTGCACTGGCTGGGTGCATCCTCTATGCAGATCACTGGTGTGCTGAGTATAGCCTTAACAGGCAGGAGGTTGACTTTTCAGGAGTTAGGGGAATGGTAAATAGTCACTCTGGGGGATCCCAAGGGGACATGTTTATTTTTAGCACTATTCTATCTGGCTCTATGGCTATGAAGTCTACAAGGCTTATGCTCTATTGAATTCTACCTGAGATAAAGAATAAAAAGATTGATAGCATAATTTTCATAATTTTAACTAAAAACACAGACATCTTTGTTAAATTAATGTGAATTAAAATGGTGTGCTTTTACACGTAAATCCCTCCGCTTTGTCACTTATGCCCCAGGCAAAGAAAGCACCAGCTGCTATGACACCCCAGATTCCATGTTTACAAAACCACAATGAAACAGATGGTAAAAATCACATCAGTAAATCAAACAATAATATTCTGGCCAGTTAATTTCCCATAGAGAAATAACTTTGTTTATCCAAGGCTTTCAGAAACAGATGCAAAAATCTCACTTGGGATACATTTCTAGAGAATTAACTGAGGACCTGACTTTTCTATTTCCGATTTCCTTCATGAAAATAGGAAAGACTTACTGCTTCTCCTGTGGAGACTGATGAAATACAACTACTCTTGTTCCTGGAGGCAAAGGAGCGATGACTAGAGACAGAAGCCCTGAATGACGATTCATTTATAGAACCTGATGAGAGATCGCTCTTTGATACCCGTATGAAAAATCGCAAGCAGGGAACAGAACTGCGAATGGTTTTCCTGAAAGGGACAAGGAAAGTAAACATTACAAGTTGCTCACCACCACAGACAGTAGCAGCACTGTTTGGAAAGTGATCAGACAGAAGTTCTCTCTTTCAGTAATCTCAGTATTGCTTTTGTTTTGTTTTATAAAGGTTACAGGTTACTTGGAAGTAGTTTGTTAAGGCTGATATGAACTCTCAATAAAACAAAGGGAAAGATGTCGGATGGATTCAGTGCCTTTAAACTACAGAGTCCATTGCAAGGATGCATGGATGAGTAGCAAGAATTGAAAATACAATGAATGTTAGCAATATGCTCAACTTAAAAAATGATTAGTTGGTAATTTGACTGCAAACAAAGATCAATACAGTGCTATTTAGCTAGAATGGGTCAGATTCTCCCCTGTGAGGAAATCTGTTCTGTGCACAGAAGAATGGGAGCAGCATTATTTGTCTGTATCATGGTAGTGTCTAGGAGCCTCAGTCACAGACCAGGACCTTAACATGCTAGACAAACACAGAACAAACACAGAACAAAAAGATGCTTGTACCCTCTAAGTATTTACAAGCTGCATAATGTTTAGTATCAGTCTAAAGGTCTTTCTACACATCATGGCAAGGTATATTAGGGTATGTCTACACTAGCCCCCTAGTTCAAACTAGGAAGGCTAATGTAGGCATTCGAAGTTGCAAATCAAGCCTGGGATATTTAAATCCCAGGCTTGATTTGCATCTTCCCGGCCGGTTGCCATTTTTGAAATTTACAAGTCCGGACCAACTGCCCGCGTCTACATGCGGCAGGGACCCGGTATTTCAAATTAAAACCCCTAAATCGAACTACCTGTTAAAACTCCTTGCAGGAAGAATAACAGGTAGTTTGATTTAGGGCTTTAATTCGAACTACCGGGTCCCTGCTGCGTGTAGACACAGGCAGTTGGTCCAGACTTGTAAATTTCAATAATGGCGACTGGTCGGGAAGATGCAAATCAAGCCCGGGATTTAAATATCCCGGGCTTGATTTGCAACTTCGAATGCCTACATTAGCCTTCCTAGTTTGAACTAGGGGGCTAGTGTAGACATACCCTAATATACCTTGCCATGATGTGTAGAAAGACCTTTAGACTGATACTAAACATTATGCAGCTTGTAAATACTTAGAGGGTACAAGCATCTTTTTGTTCTGTGTTTGTTCTGTGTTTGTCTAGCATGTTAAGGTCCTGGTCTGTGACTGAGGCTCCTAGACACTACCATGATACAGACAAATAATGCTGCTCCCATTCTTCTGTGCACAGAACAGATTTCCTCACAGGGGAGAATCTGACCCATTCTAGCTAAATAGCACTGTATTGATCTTTGTTTGCAGTCAAATTACCAACTAATCATTTTTTAAGTTGAGCATATTGCTAACATTCATTGTATTTTCAATTCTTGCTACTCATTGAATTCTAAAGTGCAGCAATGAGTTGTGCACTAATAAGCCTGTACAGATCCGCTGGCACACATTAAAAGTTCCTCAGCATGCTAGCATAGCACAGGGAGATTAGGATATATGTACACTGGGGATTGGGGGGAAGCCTGTAGCCCCAAGTCTCAGAGACCAAGTCCACTTATTTGGGCTTGCAGGACTAAAGGTTGCAGGGTGACATTTGGGCTCAGACTAGCTCCTGACTTCTGAAACCTACTGCCCTCTTGAAGTTTCAGAGCCCAGAATGCCCTGAGCAGTGATACTGCAATTCTGTAGCCCATCAGCATGAGCCACATTAGGCAGGGTTGGCTGATGCAGGCCACCTGCAGCCCTGCTGCCTGCTTTTTATTGCAGTGTTGATGTTCCCTGAGTGTGCAACACCCTGGAGTGCTTCAGAATTCACACTCCTCTAATGCACATTGCTGTGCCATATAGACAGGCCTTAAGTAACCATTATGGCTGCCTAACTTTTGGGGCTGATCTGTGCTGGCTCAGCCCCAGCATAAATTAGAGCAGCCTAGAGGGCTCAGCTAATCCATGCCAGCTGGCTGCATTTCACACAAGACCATATGCCAATTGCGATCTGGCAGATGAGACAAGGCACAACAGTTTGGTCCTTCCCTCAGTGTTCCCTCCTCCCCATAATGGGGGGAGGGGGAACAGTTGGCACAGCAGCCCAGCATGTTGACTTGAAGCCAAGTGACGGTTCCTCTTTGCTGAAGCAATTCTCAGCTGGTTCACTTTGACTAGATTCCAGCTCCCCAAGGCTGCATGTGTCATGCAAAGCAAACTGTTCAAGGACAAAGAATTTGGCCCAATGTGTTTGCTCTTGTATAAAAAAAAACTATAACCTCATATCACTCCAGATAAATTCCAGTGCAATCAACAAAATAACAGCAAATATTGCTACAGTCAAAAAACACACAAGGCTTAAGACCGGACAAGCCACATTCACAAGTGCACATAGCAGCAGTGGTTGTCCGTTGTGTATCACCGATGAGCGAAGGAGGGCGAGACTCCAGAGGCACATGATAGAGCTGAATGAATATTGCAACAGCAACAAATTGCTCAAACATTAATTCAGTTTTTTAAACACAGTTTTAACTATGTTTGCTCTCCTGTTCCTATTGCCCATTTCCTATAGGTTTAACAGTGGACAACACTGCATGCAGGAATGTGTGAAGAAACAGTGAATTTTCAGCTAATTCATAACTCAAGAAAAATATTATATTTGTAAATGTTCACATAGGCCTCAGAACAATGATTCTGAAATTTGCTCTCCCATGAATAAAAAACAAAAATTTGCCATGGGAGCTGCAAATCCAAGATAGACTGCAGCATATTCAGTAGTCTGGAGACCCCCAGATTTGTGTCTACATCATCTCTGACCTTTCTATGACAATGGAATGGATACTTAATGCCTTAATGCCTAGAGGAGATTTGGGCCTGAATGAGTGCTAGGCTAGGTCTGTACTACAAAGAAAAGTAAGAAAAAGATACGCAAATTGCAAAAATTGGTGCATATATATGGTGCCAAATTTTGGAAAAACCTTTTCTTTCGAGCCATCCCTTCTTCCTTGTGAAACGAGGTTTACAGGGATGGTGAAAGAACGCCTCTGCTTTTCCGAATTTTTTTTTGGAAAAGTGGATGCGTTCCTTGGATGCGGCAGAGCTTTTCTGGGATACCTCCAGTATCCTGGAAAAGAGCAGCAGTCTAGACATAGCTTTAAATTCTCTTCCTGCGAAGAGTCCCACTTTTGCAATTGCAGAGCTCTTCCCTGACTTCAGTAGTACTGAGCGTTTGCAAGGATCTGCCCTGTGGAGCTCATTGCAGGATTATGGCCAAGAGCACTTGTTTTCTGTCTGCAACTAGGAAGACAAGTACAACCGCTTCTTTGCTCTCATAATTCATTCCATTTTCACATGGGGACTAGATTGTTGTAATGCACTCTCCCAGCACTATTCAATTACTAAAGCTATTGGCAGTCTGCTTATTAAAACATTGGAGCTACATGAACATGAAGAATTTAAGGTCTCTTTTAACCTTCAAAAGACCTGATTAGCTTAGGGCTACATTATCTGAGAGAGCACCTATGCCATCCTTCTTTCAGACTGCCATTAGGACACACTATAAATCAAACTTTTTCCTGAGGCATTTGAGGAACAAGTGGATCAAGAAACAGAGGTGATTAGAGTGGGACATTGAAGCTAACGTAGATTTTAAGTTCTCTTTCATAATGTATATTATAAAATTGGATGCAGGTTGAAATACACACTTACTGGATGACGATTTTTCTGTAAACTGACATATAAGAAAGCAATCAAATTTCATATATTGAATACTTGCAAAGAACTGCTTGAGAATAAGCTATAGACCAAGACTTCATTGTAGAAATTAATTGGTGAATAATTTTTTAACAAATACATTTGAGAAAACTGTGATCTGTTGAAAAAGATTCACAAACAGAATGAAAAAGTTGTTATTTGTTCTGGATCAATAATTTAAAAAAATTCTCCAAATCACAGTGAAAATAACCATAATATTTCTAAAATGAAATTAATGCTAAACTTTTAAACTAAAATTTGAATATTCAAAATTTCAAGTCTAGTTCTGTGAAGCTTATTTGTACTTAATTGTATTTAGTTGTACTAGAAAAATGATGAGATGTATTAGGAAACGTAGCTGATTACATCTCAAGTGGAGCTTATTGAAAAATGAACATCTCAATTTAACACAAATATTTCTGGTGACAAATTATCTTTTCAAATTTGTTCAACTCCCGGTAATCCCACAATGAGTAAGTCAACATTCAGATATTGCCTTTTCAGCAGGTATCTGCAATGTAAAGATTTTCAGAATAAACACTTGTTCAGTCCAATTAATGAACTTCCACAAGATTCACTGGACCTCAGCAAAAGTAAAAAAGATACATGCCATTAATATTAAAGAAGTTTGAGATGTTACTATGACTGTAATTTGAATCAGCACTATTTTTTCTATTATATGCAGTCATTCATTTTTGGCTTGCTTTAATACAATATTGTAATATATTGTAAATAGGCATCTTTCATTTCTTTTAAAAAATTAATCTCACTACCAACAGCAATTCTCAGCACAAGGAAACATCCTGCACTGTGGGCCCCACACTATTATTTTGAACTGTGTGCGAACTCTTTAGTTCACTATTTCTGGACCCTCTGACTCATGTGTACCCATCGAAACCTATCAGAGTCAAAAAAGCAAAAGTTGGTTTCATTCAAGTCGGAAGATCAAAGACAAAATTGTTTGGTTCATAGTCAAAAACTGAACAAAATGTCTCATTTTTTGTGATAGAGCTGGAAGGATGATTTGATTAATCCTACCCATTTCACCACTTGTGAATTATCCATAAACAGACTTTGATCTTTGCAAATTTGCTCATTCAACAGACTCACTGAGGAATGATATATGCAAATGTATTTCCATCAGTGGATTGCTTGTAAACTATTCACTGTGTCAACTTATTTGCTATTTGTAACATTCTATTTGGTCCACATGATTAATTCTCCTACCTGACACAATATTGCATCTACTCTCTGACTGGATAATTCTCAGACCTATAAAGCGCTTTCACAATGATTTCATGAACACCTCTGATGTCAGTAGTCATGGAAATAAAGATGGAAAAGGGAGAGAGGCATTTTCAAGAGTGCTCAGTGGTGGCCTAACTTTGCTGCTATTAAGATGAATAGGACATTTCCACCAACTTCAAAAGAGAATAAAATCAAGCACTTCTGAGAAGTCTCTACCCCATAAATGATTTGGTTCAGGAATTCTACTCAATATACAAAGTACTTATTTAGAGAACAGAAATTTCTCACTTTGTAGACATAAAATATAAATATAAATATAGAATAATGGGGAAAACACACTTTGGATCATAAATTCCAGCTTCATACTATACTTTCTGGTTACAGAAGCCTTCCATTTCTACAAACTGCTGGAAGCTGGTGGCTTCTGACATATCCCTGTAAGCAGTCTGGGCAGATGCCTCTTGAAAACAAATTAAGATATTGGCAATTTTTGATTCTTCGCTAGCTCTTTATTTATAATAGTTATGTTTAGAAGACAGATCTCCTGACTGACTCTTTCCTTTTTCTTCCCCAGGCTTTCAACAGTTTGGTCCCCATAGACGGAGGCTACATCTAGACTGCAGGCTTTTTGCACAAGAAGCTTTTGTTGGAAGAGATCTTCTGCAGAAACTTCTTGCACGAAAGTGCATCCACACAGCAAAAGCGCATCGAAAAAGCAATGCGCTTTTGCAAAAGAGAGTGTCCAGACTGCCTGGATGCTCTCTCACAAGTAAGCACTGATTGCTATGGACAGAATGGCCACCAGGGCACCTCTTCCCTCTTCTTGCGCAAAAAACCTTTCTTCCCCATCCACACATGCCTTCTTGCAGAAGAGCTTTTGCGTAAAAAGGTGTTCTTCTTTGTAGAAGTGACAATGCATCTGACGAAGTGGGTCTTTGCCCACGAAAGCTTATGCTCCAATACATCTGTTAGTCTATAAGGCGCCACAAGACTCCTTGTCGCTTTTGCAGTTCCAGACTAACACAGCTACCCCTCTGATATCTTCCTCGTAGAATGAGGATAACCAATTTCACAAAACACCCTCTGATCTTTTGATTTACTTGCGCAAAAATGCACTTGAGGTGTGGATACTCTGCGAGTTTTTGCAGAAAAACAGCCATTTTTCCACAAAAACTCTTTAGTGTAGTGATGGCCAGAAAAATCAGTGCAGAAGGGCTAGTCACTATTAGTAAACACCAATTAAGAAGTAAAGTAGTACTCATATTTTTACTGCACACTCAAAACATTTGACAGTCTTCTGAAATTAAGCAGGTGTTCAAAATTTTGAAAGTGAAAAACTTATTTGGAGGGGCAAACATTTTCAGACAAATAGTTTGCCTATGGAATCTTCTGCTTTCCAGTTCCCGTGTAGTAGTAAGGTTATTGCTGCAATCCCATTCCAATTTAGGGTTTGTTTTCTATTTTCATGGTTCTCTTATTTTAGCCATGCAATAGCTAACAATCAAATAATGACAACCAGCCATATTGGATGCTCTAGGATCTTGCCACCCTTAAGGGCATTTGTCTATCTAGAGTGAAATTTTATGGCAATTCTCAACAAAGCTAATGGTTCAATGGAGATCCAAGGCTTAAGCTGTTTCTGGAAAATGCAATGTAAGTATGTGCTAGTTTGATGCCATTCAGCTAGATACCTCCCTAGCCCACCCTGTGGTTTATACTTTTTAATATATTGGGGACTATTCCAGGGAAAGACCCCAAACGTTTGATTTATTTTGTCTTGTATAAGATGAGGCAGGACTTTAGTGGAACAAATGCATTTCAGAATGCTAAAAGATTCGTCATGCATCTGATGAAGTGGCTCTTTGCCCATGAAAGCTTATGCTCCAATAAATCTGTTAGTCTATAAGTTGCCACAGGATTTCTTGTTGTTTTTGCAGATTCAGACTAACACGGCTACCCCTCTGATAAAAGATTTTTAGTATTTTAAAAGTTACCTATTATGCATTTTCTAGGTTCTGACTTGCTGGAGCAGCAGTGTTTCAACCATTTTCAAATCAAAGACCGGATTCAATGGCCTTTATGGAAAGCAAGATGTGTATTTCCCCAGACTTTTCCTGTGGCAGCAGGGGAAGAACAAGTTGGGTCTCTTGGGAACTTTGTGGAGGCCATGAAGGAATCACTAATGGAGGCCGCAACAGAGTCTGTACTGATAATTGCAGAATTTCTGCTTCTTTGGAGGTCTCTAAAGTTTACCACATCATCCTCTACCCACCTAAGTACTATGCTAACCCACATGCACCCTATTAGCCTCCTTCTGTCTCCGTCTAATTTTATGGGTTTTGCAATCCATGTGACTGGATAAAATCATTTCCTTTGCCCCCTCCCCCACTATCGGGGCAGATGAGGGTTTTGCGGGGCCCAGAGCAGCACAATTTTGCAGGGCCCCCCTTTGACATGGCACATGCGTGGGGCCTCTTGAAGCGCGGGGCCTGGGGCAGCTGCCCCGCTCGCCCTGCCCTATATCCACCGCTGCCCACTATCATCTACATAATATCACCTGTAAGGGAATGGATAGTCAGTATGCCCTCCACCCAACTCCTGTTTCACTGAGGGCAGAGTTGGTAGGTAAAATCAAATTACAATGCTTCCATAAACTAGTTGTGAAAGAACTAGCAAGGGAAAAAACACAGGAGAAAAATAAAACCAGTCAATAATTCACAACAATCACAAAACAAATGTATTGTACTTAGATATGCTGGGATTCCAAAAAGAAAGATGGCCTAGCACAAATAGTCCATCTCCACTGAGAAAATCCTCCACATAAGATTTATTATAAAAAAGATACAACAAAATAATACCCATTTCTTCCAAGCAAATTCTGCGTGAAGTACTAACCCAGGGACTGAAAAGTTCTCACTTGTTATAAGCATAACCTGCTAGGCCTATAATTGAATTAACATCATTTTTCAACTCTCAGGCCATATACACCCCTGATAAAAGGGGTACATACTCCTGCAATGATGTGCCCTCAATAGAAGGAATAAGTATTAATGTATATGTTTGTACGTGTAGTTACAGCCAAAAGTAATGTGTTTACTGTACCTGTATCTTGGGTGAATTATTGCATAGATGATAGGATTGTAGATTGCAGAAGCTTTGGCGATAACAGCTGGCACAGATTTAGAATAGGGAGTTAGACTATTGGCATGGCTAAAATTAAAGAAAACAACAAAGGTATTTAATGGATTTGTATTAACTAAGTAACCAAAACATATCACTCTTTCTTGACTGGCTCTGCACTGTGATGGTCTGACAATAAATAGTTTTGAAAAGTTAAATTGTTTTAGTGGGTACATTCCTGACAAAGACTTCCATGATTTGGTGCCACAATGATTATATTTACTCTGAGAAGCTGAATGACCATCATCATATGAGTTTTATGTTATTAAGAATGACAAACTGAGAACACACACAATCACTTCTTTCTGTTTCTCTGATAGTCAGAAGCAACAGGAGAGATTATTAATGGGGAGAAAAAAAGATATGGAATGATAGTAACAAAAGCAGATTCAGAATGAAAATTTCATATTGCCACTCCCACAGGATCAGTTTCTGATGCACACAAAAGGGCATCGAGGAGACTGAAATTCCAGTGTCTAAAAAGAGAGGGAGGTGCATGGAAAAGGGGAAGTGGGCTGAGATCAGCTTCAGCAATTTTTACCCCACACTATCCCACCTGCAAAGAGGTGTCTAATTTCCACTGATCATGTAACTCCTACTAATATTAATGAAGTAGAATATACATCAACAAGGGATGAGGTCCCCCTACAGGGGAGAGCAGGGAAGGGGAGGAGAACATGAGCTCTTCATTCAAAAAGCTGGGAAAAACACATCTTCACTCCCTCTACTAATTGCTGACTTGAGGAAGGGGACTCTTGAAATCAGATGTGAGGAAAATGATCAGCTGCTATGAAGCCTAGGATTACTCTGCATAAAATCAGAATGCACTCACATAAAGCAACATGAAGGAAGTGAAAATAAAAATCTGTGCTCAGAAAGAAAAAGATACAAATTTTTCATGTAAGAAATAAAATAGACACTAGCTAATCATGCTCTTTTATCCACAGGGCTATCCTGAGGAATGATATATCACCTCTAATCTGGCATCTATTTTAACATATTTTAAAAAGAAAGTTACACTCCTTATGGGTAACAACACTCCAAGCTGGAGTCAGATTTTTGGGTAGCTTCAGGCTAAATCATTTGCTCCCAGGGGTGATAGTAAGTTAAGTTTCTTACAGATACTGTCATATCAACCCCCACTCTCCCAGGCAAGGGAATGAAGGAGGGTGCAATATAATAGTACTTGTAAGAAATGTAAGTGTAGAGTGGAGTGTGGGTGAGAATAGCAGGAGTCAGGGCAGGAGCTGGGGGTGAGCAGGAGCTCCTGACACTGGTCTGGGGGCATGGAAGGTGCAGGAGTCAGGGCTGGGAATTTGCAAGAGTGAGTGCAGGGGAGTGGCATTTTGGGACGGTGTGTGGGCTGCAGCTGCACATACTGGGTCACTGCTGCTCTTCTTCTCCTTCCCCTATCAGGAAGTAAGGGGAAAGTGCAGTCTGTTGCATACCTCTCCCTCAGGCTGTGCCCTTTCTTCTCTCTCTGATAGTTAGGGGAAGAAAAGCAACTGCAAATTGGTATGTGAGGCTGTAGTCTGCTGCCCACCCCTTTAACCTGCCTGGCCACTTTGCTTAGCGTGGCAGCCTGCAGAAAACCCCAGGAGCCAGGCTGGGAGTGTGCTGCTCTTCCCACAGCAGCCAAGTGCCCCAGCCAGCCAGCTTCTTGCCCACATGGCACACTGGCTTACTTTCCCTTCTCATTACTAACTTCTCTTGACTGATTAAGTAATTAAGGGCCACCAGGTTTCTACTTACCCTGCCCATGCAATCAGAGTGACACAAGCATATGGAGACCAAGACAAGACATACACAATGATGACCACAAAGGCAATTTTTGCCAGCTTCCATTCATTCCTCATGGAATGCGAGAGGTAGGATTTACGACCATAGGACCCTAGCTTCTGAACATTCCTGTGGAAGGAAGAACAAGGGATGTCACCAAGTGTAAGAAAACGTTTGGTATAAGATATGCAATGAACTATTAGCAATAAATAAAATAGAGCACATACTTAATGCTGCCTTGCCCAAATATACCCAGATATTTAGCATCTTGAGGATAAAGATCTTCTGATACACCCTGTAAAGGGGCATAAACATGAACATTGGCCTCAGAACAGCCAAGAGGAGGAAGAGGGAAGACAATGCCTCTATGACATGCTCACTTTCTGCCCTCAAGAACTGCCCAGATGGGGCTCTGAAGCTTTGACAGGTGGGTCTGGCACAGCCTGGAATCATCATATTCCTTTTGGAACCAGACAGATCTCAGTAGCAAATAAGCAGAAATTCCCACTTTTGGCCCATTTTGTCAGTGCCAGAGATACAAGGGGGTTACTCAGTGGTAGTTCATTTCCCTGAGAATTTATGCTACCAGGGTTGGGTGGGAGACTGCTGAACATAGCTCTGCTGTCCACTTATCTGATTCCATATATGATGCTGCTCACAAGGGCAACACTTCTTGACATCTCCACACTTCTCCCAGTTCCTCCCTGTCCAATGAATACGTTGATTCTAATTCACTCTAAGTAAATTAGTATTGTAGGCTGGCTGCTTGGCAAAGCAAGAGCACTGGTGAACCTACCACAAAATGTTTAGGAGGACTGTTTTTACACTCCTGCAGGTCTATCCATTGAACCAACGAGAGATGGCATTCTTTTTGCTTGGAGATAATTTTTGGAGACCATGCTTTATCTGCAGATATTCTGACAGAATCATTTACACAAGACTGGAGAAAGTCTCACAGCTATTGTATGGGAATCCTTCAGATGCCAGCATCATTTTTTATGCCAACAAAAATCAAGTAATATGCTGCAATTTATAGTAAACTGGTTTGACAAGATTTAACATTTTTAGTGCAAATTTACTTAAAAATGAAGACTGCTTTTGCAAATCAGCAGCATTGTATCAATCAGCTGCTTCCATAAAATGAGAATACACAAATAGACACTATGAAAGAGGTCTACAGAAAAACACTTTGGCAGCAAATTGAATATATATTCAGTTCTTGCAACAGCCATACTCATGTCTGGTGATATTGCTTTAAGGACCAAGTTACCCCATTCTAAGCATGTGCTGAACTGTGAGCACCCATGTAAGTTCATCTCTATTCATCAAAGCTTATTAACCATGTGCTTAAGTCACACTGTTGTCAATGGGGGTTAAACATGTGTTTCAAGTTAGGCATGTGATTAGTTACTTTGCTGAAACAGGGCAACAGGGCTTGATCCCATTCAGGTCAGTGGAAAGACTCTTATTGACTTAAAATGGGATTTGGGTTGACTCTGAATGAGTGACGTGTACATATTGAGAGAAAAAACAATAGAGAGAGTTCCCTGTTTGATCTCTGATACTGCCAATTTTTTTATTTACAAGAAAAGGCCGAGTCATGTACAAAGCTGTCTGTATCTGCCTGTATTTTTGAATGACATTTGGTCTAATGTATGCATGAATAGGAATGTGTGTGCATCACTACCAGTCTCATCTTCCTGAGCTCAGCTGTAAAAGCTGTGATCTCTGGAATGTCTATAATAAATTAGATTCTTGAGGCACAAGGACTTCAATGTCTGTGGAGTGCACCAAAATAAAGAGATGTCCATTTTGGTGTATAAACAGGTTTATTCATTGTCATGATCTCCTGGGGGCTTAGATGATGAACCCAAGCAGTGAAGAAAATAAAAAAATAGCTGAATATAAGAACACAGCATTTCTGCTCCTATTTATCTAACCTGACTGCCTATTTGGAGCATGTAAGCAGGGAGTTCTCTGTATTGTGATTCTGTAGAACAAAGGAAAATACAGTTTCAATGTCAGCAGCACCATTAATAGACCTATAGCCTAGCTTGAATTCAGCCAGAAGCTTTGAGAGTATGCTTTACAGCAAGAAGGTAAGAGATTTAACTACTCTTGATACCCTGCTTACCTGCCAGTACTTCTTATGGCCAGAAACATGAATAAATAGCAATGGAATATTATAACCAGGGGAATGAAAAACACACAGCAACACAACATCATGGTGTAACTTCTGTTTGCTGGGGAATAGGTTACATAGTCCCATGTACAAGATATCATCAATCCTTCTGGCACATAGGAACCTAAGAAACATGAAAAGTAAATACATATTTACTAGGCTGAACTCATTAAAAAATATTTATACATACATACACATATATACACACAGTTTGTACAGTCATTGGTCAAGGGTTAAGTTAACAAGGACAGTTAACAAGCAAATGGTGATAACCAGGTCTCGACAAACTGTGGCGAGAGCTACTCACTAGCCCCGTACCGTGCATATGCCAGACTGGTACTGCGCATGCACGCAGCACCGGTGACTGGGGCGCACAGAGCAACTGGCTGAAATCTACTCACCACGGGCGAGTAGAAACAGCAGTTTGTTGAGCCCTGGTGATAACATACATGTGCCCATCACTGGCCATCTTATGTTGCATAATCACTTAACGAATGTACTGTACAAGACCTATCTAGAATATGCAATACGAAGAGCACCGATACAAAGTTGGCATGCATCCTGTTTCCCACCTAGGCTGAACTCATTAAAAAAAATGTATCATGCACAGACAATAAGAAACTGTCAGTTTTCCATGAGCAGCCTTTCAAAGCACTCCAAGTGATACATCATGGCATGCTGAATACTGTCCATGGGAGAGACACTCTATCCTAGTGATAAGCAACCTACGTTAATGAGCAGACCACATGAGTGGTCCTGCATCTCAGCGGGCCGCAAGACTGTCGTAACCAATATAGAAGCTTCAGGGGGTAGCCGAGTTAGTCTGTACAGGTAAACTGAAAAAACAACAAATGATCTGGTAGCACTTTATAGACTAACAAAACATGTAGATGGTATCATGAGCTTTCGTGGGCACAGCCCACTTCTTCAGATGACCGGAGAACCAAAATATGTATGTCTAGAACCAAAATAAATAGGGGAGATGGGAGGGGGGTAGAAGAAGGGAAAATTGGGGGAAAAGGGAATAAGAAAAGGCAGTGGGTAAAAAATATATCAAGGGAAAACCGAGTCTATAAGCACCTAAAGACTAGCCCCCCTCCCTCCCAATTTTCCCTTCTTCCACCCTCCTCCCATCTCCCTTATTTATTTTGGTCCTAGACATCCAACACTCCAGCCATCTGAAGAAGTGGGTTGTGCCCACTAAAACTCATGATACCATCTACATGTTTTGTTAGTCTATAAAATGCTAACAGACTATTTGTAACCAATATTGTCTCTCAGGATAGGGTAGTTTTGTGGACTATGCTTGCATACATAGAATTTGCGGGTGTGCCAACTATAACTGTTGAACCATAGCAGCACTCTGATGAGATGAAAAGGGAGCACATGGCTCTCACAGTCAATCTTGTGTGCAATCAGCATGCACCTCACTTAACACACCTTATAGTAATATTGGTAGGAAAAAAACCAATATGTGGATGGAAACCAATAGAATCTGGCAACTCTGTATATATGCAACAGAAAACAAAATGTTTTGTGGGCTGCACATAGAACACCAATGGCGCATCACAGATCTATCCAAGATCTATCCAACTGCTCCCCCTCAATTACTTGCAAGAAGGTCATTTTCAGGAGATACATTTAAGAATCTTTAACAACAGACATGTACTAATGGCACAGCTGCTAAAGCCAATGTAATTGAAGCTTTTACGTGATTACGTTGGAGAAAGTCTCATTTAAAGGGGCTCATAATGTTACCTGTGCAAATTTGATACGTCTTGTCCTAGAAGCTACTGTCCCCACCCCAACCTTATAAATTGGTATGACCTAAAAACGTGTGGGTGGCGTGTGGAGGGGCAGCGGAGTAGCAGAGATTCCCTGAGTTCCACCACAAATATCTCTTTGCGAAGAGGCTGTGTATGGGACAGGCATGTGATGGTTAAAACAGGACTCATTTATGCAAGACAGATGCCAAAACTAATCCCAATAAAATGTTCAAATCCCCTGAAACAAGTCTAAAATAACTTTCCTGCAACATGTGCATAGAGAATGTATGAGGATATGGCAAACTAGAAGGGCACTAATTTAGGATTTGGGGCAATTCAGTGTGTGCGCTTTCTCCTGCTCCCCACATCTGACACATGCCTATGCTGAGAACGGAGTAGGAAGAGAGTGGCACAAAGTTTTCCGACAGCTGAGAATTTCCTTGTACCTGGGCAATCCTCTGCAGCTTGCTAGAGATGATTGCAACTGTACTTTGCATCACTGAAATGGTAAATATTTGACCCAGGACAGCGTATTAATTTCGGGTCTATATACATGTGTAGTAGAGCGGTAGAAGCAGTGACTGCTATAGTTAAGACTGCACAAGCATTTCCTAACCATCCCTTCCAGTCATGCAGAACTTTCACTTTAGTTGAGTGGAAGGCCTGAACTCTGCATAGGTAGGTTCTTATACCCACATGAGACTGTTCTGGAGCAGTATGTGCCCATATAGATTCATTGGTACAGTCAGGGGCTTAGTTGTTGATCATGCAAGCTGACTAGTTTCACTGAGGATATGTTTTTACTGCAAACTCCTTCTCTTGATTATGAGCTGTAAATAGAAGATAGAGTGCTGAATACCAAAAGCCAGAGCCCTGGTGATTAGAGAGCGAGTTCAAGCTTTGGAATGGATATAAGCAGAGGTACTAATTAGAAAGTCAATTAAAACAAAGGAAAATAGTTTGAAGATGCTCAATGTAATTTTTCTTTAAGCCTTCCCCCCACTGCATCTTAAATGAGACTTCTTCATTGTCTAACCCTCTTAGCATCAGCAAATGCTCTTCACTAGATGAAAGTAATTCAATTAGTATTTGCATGCTAGTGATCTTCTTATGCTAACAGAGATTTGTGCATTCTCCCCATCAGGATAAAACTGTACTGTTTTTGCTTTTAAGCTGTCCCTTCCCCCTAACTTTCACTACCAACAACAAAAAGGAAAAATATCATTTATTACCCACTTCTGTATCCTCACTCAGGAAAGCTGAAAAACAGTGAATAACATTAGCTGCACTCCTTTAAAAAGTTTTTAGAGAAAGATCACTAGCATACCAGTGTATTCCTATCTATATTCTGGTATAGTGAGGAACAATATATTGATATAATGCACAGTCTAACAAAAACACAGTCACAGCTGTGAAGAATGGATAGGATACCTGTAATATTTTAACGTTATGTGTCTAGTTTTTAGTGCACTGTTTGCTATATGATTTCAAGGAGGTAAATCAGACATCAGTTCACCTACATACAAGCAGAAAAATGGTCAAACACTTCCGACAGGCACCCTTTTACCAATATTTCTTATAAAGCCGTGCAGAGAACCACTTGCTTTGAAGTTTATCCTTAAACCCATCTTAGGGCCACATAAACCAGTTTAACCAGGGTCAAGAGACACAGGAAGACAAGTGACAAGTCTACACTACAAAATTGAGTTGACCTAGGTTACATTGATACACTAATTGTAGAAATTGAATCAGTTTTATGTCCACATAACATTCTTTGCACATCCTCAAGTCACCAGGAACATTTGCACTGATTTAAACCACCAGATGGAGCATTGTGAGATTGTTTCTCAAAAGCAGTAACAGTTGACATAAGCAACACAGCATCTACACATTGCGGCAACCTTCCTTCATTGACTTAAGTGCTACACATCTCATGGAAGTGGAGTTAAATTGGTGTAGGGCAAGTTACATTTCTGGGAGCAACATTTTAGTGTAGATCCTTAGAGATAAGTTCACATAAGGCAGCTCATGTCAATGTAACACTGTAGTGCAGACCAAGCCAACGAAGGTTGGGGATGAATAAAGGGATGCAGTCTCTAGAAAAGAGAGGCGAAGACACAGATAGTAAATGCAGGGAACAGACTGAACCCCAGTACCAGACACCGGAGCACTATGTCCCAGTAGGTGAAACCAGACATCACTATGCTCTTGGATGAACTCTCACAGGAAAATGATAAAAGACAAATACACCATATCACCTGTGGGTGAACACTTGTCACAGAACAATCACTCCACACCGGAGCTGTCTCTCCTCACCCTCAAAGGAATCCTGCACAACATTTTCAAAAGACAAGCCTGGGAGCTTAGAAATAACAGCTTCGCTAGAGGCTAAAAATTAGGGGCTGAATTGAGACACTAGATTATGGCTTAAATAATTAATTAATCATAATGAATTCATTAATAGTGATCCTCCCCACACTTTTCTTTTTCTTCCTATGACCAGAGGCATGTTAACTGTTTTGAATAGTCCCATGATTTAAGTTCCATATATTTAGCTGTGACCTTCTGATTAAGTTTCCCAGACCTGAAGAATTACACTGTAAATTCAAAAGCTGGTCTCTCAAGAAAAGTTGGCTAATAAAAGATGTTACCTCATCCCGCCTGGTCTCTCTAGTATCCTGAGAGGGACACAGCTACAACAATACTTGTATACGCAAAATTTAGGTAAGGTTATGTATGTATATTGTTTCTTAAATTTAAACAAGGCTTTGCACTCATTATGCTTTGTTCCCTCTGCTGAGATTAAACTATGTTTTGGAAAGGCTGTTTTAGGTTCTCAGAGTGTCCCCTTTCCGGTAGGGTGCCTATTCCTGGCTGCTCTGGGATTTGCTCCTTCCAGGAGCGACAGCTCTTTCTGTTGCTTGTCTATGCACACTGCTGCCCCTGTCCCATGCAACTCAGGGTGCTCTGCAGGCCAGGACAAAGAGTGTGCGGGGCCCAAGGCAGCACACTGAGCTGAATGCATGGAGCCCTAAATGCGCAAGGCTCAAGGTGAACCACTTCACTCGCCTTGCCCAAAGGCCAGGCTTAATGCTCTGTCTTCATGGCTTGGCACTCCCAGACAGAAAGGGTACGTCTAAAGTACATGGCTCCATCGACAGAACCATGTAGATTAGTTTACTTGAAAAAGGGAAATGAAGTGGCCTTCATTTAAATCAAAATGGCCACAGCGTTGTGCCGATCAGCTGATTGTCGGCACAGCACGGCAGTCTAGATGGGGATCTGCCGACCCCAGAACCCTTTGTTGGCAGATCCTGTAAGCCTCATTTTACGACTAACATGGCCACATCTTAACAGA